GATAGCTCAGGGCCACTCTTCCTCAAGCAAAAAAACGAAGTTTGGCTACAGATGTTACCTCAGGGCCAATCTTCCTCACCAAAAAAGGGGACAAGCCCATTCCTTACTTGTCTATCATCAGTCTTCCCTACTAGAATAAAAACTCCATGAGCAGATCTATTAATGTTTTTGTGATTATTAACACCTGAAGTGCTTTCCATTTTCTTGTCAGTGATTTTGAAAAAAGTAGATGGAATGATTCAAAATTAACAGAGTTTTCAGTTTCAAACCAAATGTTCATGTCTTTAGGAATAAAATATTGTAAAACAAACAAAACTCCCCGAGGGCAGTGACCATCTTTGTTTTCTTCAGATGTGTCCCAGAAAAGCACCTGGCATATAGTAGCTATTCAGTAATTATTTGTTCAATAGATGAAAAATGACAAAACCACAAGCTAGCTTGGCCTTTCCTCTTAACATGCCAAGAAGGAGTTCAAAGCCAACCAAAACCACTTTCATCATATGCCTTCACTGCAAGGTAGCCCACCTCACCAAATGAGAATATTCATCCCCTTAACAGATCACTTCTCCATATACAGAGCTCTCCCAGACCCAAGAAGAACAAGAAAAGGTGGTCAAAATGGTACCAGACCAGGGTATTTATTGTGGTATCAACTAAATTAAGATACTTCTAACTATTTTCCTTATTGGTAATCAGTTTAAAATATTTGAACAGTCCCTGGATGGGCTATTATACCTGCTATTAACATAGCTCCCACCCAAGCCAGTACCACTGCTGATCCCTCTGGTAAAGAGGACTGTCCTCTGATCCTCATTCTCTAGATGGCTCATTTTCTATTGATAATTAGATATACCCATAGCACAGGCTGTGGATAAACTGTAAGATGACCACACTACTCTACTGAAAAAAATGAAAACTTAAAGACGAAAAACAGAAAGAATAAGATGGGAATGGTCCAGAAGTAAGAGAAATATGTCTGTAATACAGTGAGTCCATCTGCTTAAAGATTAAGTAAGAGAGAGGTTAGGAAACATATCTTCATCTGAGGAAGAAACGTCACTTAGAATGGAAGAAAAGAGGGAAGTTAGAGGAGTATCTTATGGAGAGGTAGGAAAATAAGACCAGAGAGAAAAGTTACGGAGTGAAATGAAGATCTCAAGATTGGTGAAGAGAATCACTAACAGCGATGCATCCACATTTCCCTAGAACTTACATTAATATATAACACGTAATAGTAAACTCTCTTCCATGGGGAAAGAATGAAAGAAGAGGCTTCTATTTACATACCTTACAAACGTGCTGCAAGACCAAGAGCCTGTGTGGCAGAAGTTCTACAAAGTGCCTTGAACTTCTCAGATGAAAGGCACTATAAAAATATAAAAAAATCAGGAATTATGTTTATTCATTTTACAAGGATAAAACAAAACACAGGATGTAAATGGACTTGGCCAAAGTTCCATCAAGTAATTTAGAAACCAAGAGAGGAAAAAAGTACAGAATTTAATTTTTAATTGACATACCATAAAATTTATCACAGTTACACAAGTCTTGGCCTCCTTCAATTAACAAAACGTACACAATCAACCTATTTTCTGAGTATTATAAATTAACATTGCCTCTTTAGAAGCAAAAATCAAAAGCAGGTGAATCCTATGTAAATTAATTTTCCAACATTTTATTATAAAAATTTTCAAACACAGCAAAGTTAAAAGAATTTTACAGTGAACATCCATATCCCTACCACCAAGACTACCTTAACAATTTGAATGACTTGCTTTATCAAATTACATTTCCTTTTTAATACAGGCATTACAGAGGAATTACAGGCTGAAAGGCAACTGTCAGAAAATCAATGGCTTCAAAAAAACAGGCTGAAGTCATCAGATGAAGGAAATTAATAATATTAGGAAATCCCTCTGACATTTTTGCCAGAAATGAATTAGTATTAATTTACTCTCTAAAGTCAGAATGGACTCTGATCTACCCCTTACTCTTGGTGAGTGATTCTAGTTGTTTACTTGTTCACTATCAGATCACATCATTCTCCTGCTAAAAAACATCTAATGATTTTCATCTCAGAACAAACTCAAAGAACTTCCCAAGTCCTAAAGGCCCTACTAGATCTGGTCCCTGCCTCCTCTCTAATTTCATTTTACCTCCCACTTTTCCCTTCACTCCATTCCACCCTAAATTTATTTCATTGGCTGCTTATGTTCTCTACTTTCCCTTCACTTGAATATTAAGATACTACCATAAATATGCTTAATCATATTTACTTTACCAACCCGCTTCAAAAAAAAAAAAAGCTCAGTTTGGTACAAACTGCAAACCAGCTGCAATTTAACAGAGTGTATCTCAAATTCTGATGATTATTAGCTATAAAAATGTATTCAGAATCATCTGGAGGAAACACCAATAAACTCCAACCAACACCCAGAACGAGCAGCTTCAATGTCTATCTGATTTTCAGTCACATGTCTATTATAATTATAAGTATACAAGGTCTTATTACAACAGCACCACAGATTAAAAATGAGTCACTTGACATAGAAACACTTGAAATAGGAATTTTACAGTAATTACTAACTTTAAACTGTCTTGAAAATTTTATTAATTTCACAAATACTTCACAGTGAGCATGGCCCCAAAGAGCAGAGTATAGTAAGACACATTAAGACAAGTTTAAAATTTAGTTACATTAACGTGTAGGTGCAGGCAAACTGAGTTCCACTGGTCGGTGCACAAAGGGATAAACTAACTGGTAACAGAGGATGAAACACTCGGAGGGACCCTTTAAAACTATTCACTAAAACGATTCATTTGTCTACGTCAACCAACTGGTAAAGGACTATCCAGTCAGAGTGCTGTGAAAGCTAAAGAACTGAAATTTGTTTGGAAAAACAAATTTTTCAGATTTTCCCTATATATATATATATAATCAGCAAGATATAAAACAAGAAAACACGAATACATTGTAAGTCCTGAATTTTAGCTGACTCTAAGCAAGCCGCTTCGGAGTACATGGAAAATATAGAGAAAACAGTTCTGGCCTGCACTTGACTAGACATATGACCTTGGGAAATTTACTTAAGTCTCAGGGACTCAGTTTCCTCATCTGCAAATGGGGTTGGACTCTATGTTCTGAAGATTCCCTTCAAGTCTAAAACTCTGGATCTATGAAGACATCGGTGGATTCCTACTCTCGCCTTCCCTCCAGTACAGATGTTTATGAGAACAGAGATTATAAGTCTGACACTAGACTTTGACTCAAAGCAAGTTCCATCTTATATATATTTTGTTATGTCCCCAAGAGCCACCAGTGCTCTACAAAAGTACACACATCTACTCTCAAAGCAATTTACCAAAAGAGATCCTTCAATAAGTTATCCTTTATAATTAAGAACTAGTCTTGTATTTTCAGTCCAAACAATGTCACTTGTGCCAAATGCTGAAAAGAGTCTCTCTTCCAATTTTGCCATGTCTAAAGTGACAGTCATGCAATGGTACACATTACACATTTGGGTGTGTGACACTAAGCGGTTGAAAAAGTCTCACCATACACATCTTAAAAATTTTTTAAAGTACTTTTTCCCCTTCAACTCTGGCAGGGAGGAACATAATCTGATTATGTACACACCTGCAAGAAACATTTACTTCAAAAGACTGTCTTAAACACAAAAAGAACCAAACGAGTCACCAACAGAGGTAAAAATTTTAAATCAAGACCACTAAAAAAACACAAGTGGAACCAACTCTGAGGTAAAAGGGATGCCAAATTTACACCATAAACTACTAGACATGGTTTTGACCAAATCAATTTGAGTGCAAATAGTGCTATTTAATGAAGACGACCTGTAACTGGATCCAATCGGTAACTAAGAACAGATGTTTAGGTGATTCTTAATTACGGTAGAAACTTAGACTAAGCAAAACTGCAAATTAATACTCTATTTTGATGCAATATAGTTTAAATCATGAAAAATGTTCTTTTCAATGAAAAAGCCCCTTTTTTTCAATACCGAAGAATCCCAACCCCCTAAGATTTCAACACTATCTTTTACTTACACAATCTCCAAGAACACTGCATTAAAAAGAAAATCCACCCAAAACATAACTGGACTTCACCCAGTATAAAACGGTGATTCATGCTTCATATTAAACGTAAAAGCCAAAATGGAGTTGTAAAGAGTTTCTTTCCCATTTCAACTCCGGAGCCACGCGCGCTTCGCAGCGGCCGGTTGCGCGGCGCGGTCGCGGGGCCTGGCTCGGAGCCCCCGCCCTGCCCGGCGCGGCCGTGAGAGAGGAAGCGCCGGGGACCGCGGGCGGGCGGCTTGGGCTCCAGCAGGCCTGGCCGGGCGGGGGAAGGGGCGCGGGAGGCCGCGGGGCGCGCTTCCGGGGACTGCGCGGGCGGGGCTGCCGCTTTGGGGCGCGGGGCCCGGGCCGGGAGTCAGGGTCAGGGGCCAGGGGCGGCCGGCCGAGAGCAGCAGGTGGGGCGCGGCCGCGGCGGGCGGGCGGGCGGCCGGAAGAGTACCGGGCGGGCGGGCCACGGGCGCCGCGGCGCCAGGAGGGAACCCTCTCGCTCACCTCAGGCGACGACTCCGAGTCCCACTTCTCCGCACTGAGAACGCCTGTCCGCGAGTCGCAAGCTCGGAGAGAACGGCCGGTGCTGAGGAAGCGACGGCGGACCAACGAGAGAATCGACGGAGGACAGCGGGCGGCGGGCGGGGAGCTCTAGAGAGCGAGGGCGGGCGGCGGCGGGAGGGCGGGGAGCGACGTGCGCGCCCCCGCGTGCCCAACGGGCTCGAGCCGGCCCCTGTCGCGGCCCCGCGCACGCGCGCGCACTCACAGCTCAGCCACGATTGCTCAGGAACGCGTCCACGCCCTAAAAGCAAGGCGCTTAACCAATCATTACAGCCGCGTGGGGCATCACGGGAGTTCGAGGGCTATAAAAGACCTGGTTGCTATTTTATGCTTCTCGAGTCACTCATCCTATAAGTGGGGTTGGGCTAGCTGCGCGTGCGCGGTTTTAATACTCCTCCCCAAACTGCCAACACTTCGCGCAAGCGAGGTAGCTTCGCGGTCCCTGGGTTTACGCGTGCGCACTAACTGGCCTGGCCCGGACGACCAGAGGCCTGCGCAGTGTGTACTTCACTGACAGCCCCCCGGGTGAGGCGCGGGCCACTCATGGCGGAACCTTGGTCTGGGCAGTCATTGCAGGCTTTGCCGGCCACAGTGCTGGGCGCGCTGGGTGCCCTGGGTAGCGAGTTCCTGCGGGAGTGGGAGGCACAGGACATGCGCGTGACCCTCTTCAAGCTGCTGCTGCTGTGGTTGGTATTAAGTCTCCTGGGCATCCAGCTGGCGTGGGGGTTCTACGGGAGCACTGTGACCGGGCTGTATCACCGCCCAGGTGAGGCTCCCTAACAACCTCCGTGGGCCGGCCGCCCCCACCCCTACCGGACTGTACCACTGGGCTCCCCAGAACCCCCCCTAGACTACCACTGGTCCTCTAAGAACCTGATCACAACTTAACGCTGTACCCATGCCAACATACCATTTCATGCCAGAAAACCCACCAGTCCACCCATCACATTACAACTGTTCTTTGAACCCCCATCCGACAATACCACTAGTCCCTTAGGGGCCCCACCAGACTCCACGAAACAGTACCACTGGCCTCTAACCTGACCTGGGCTGATGCCTGCTCAGATCCCCACCCCCAGCCTGCTGCAGCTCTGGATGTGTTCCCGCCCCCAGGTCTGGGCAACCAGAACGGATCCACATCTGATGGCTCCACGCATTTCCCTTCTTGGTGAGTAAATCTGTTCCCTTCTCAACCCCATGCTTGACAGGCTGAGGACTCTCCTGTGTTGGGAAAGTGGACAGGGATGGGGGAAGGGAGTTCTCAGGATAGGAGTCCACCAGCTTAGCGGCCTTTGCAGCAAGCTCCAAGGTCTGCAAGTAGAGATCAGGGTTCCAGTGACACCGATGTCTGAACAGCCCATCAGTATGCTCATCAGCAACCTGTGGGGTGGGTGGTGTTATTGTCACAATTTCAGAGATGAAGTGGCAAGTCTGCTGGATTCCACTTCACTGCAAGCACCTCAGTTGGAAAGGCAGGAACCTCTGTCCTTAGTGCACTAACTAGCTTCATCAGAGTCAGCCTCCTCATCTGTAAAACACGAACTCACTAATCAGGACATTCATTCAGCTAATCTCTGAGCTTCTACCACATGGCAGGGGCCACACTAGGTCCAGAGGACGAGGACAAGGTCAACCCAGGCTCTGCTTACAGGGAGAGCTAGAGATTTAAAAGGGGAGGACAGGGGCTGGCCTGGTGGCGCAGCGGTTAAGTGTGCACGTTCTGCTTTGGCAGCCCAGGGTTCACCGGTTCGGATCCCAAGTGCAGACATGGCACCAATTGGCAAGCCATGCTGTGGTAGGCATCCCACATATAAAGTAGAGGAAGATGGGCACCGATGTGAGCTCAGGGCCAGTCTTCCCCAGCAAAAAGAGGAGGATTGGCGGCAGATGTTAACTCAGGGCTAATCTTCCTCAAAAAAAATAAATAAAATAAAAATAAAAAAATAAAAGGAGAGGGCAGCAGTGCAGGGCCAAGGGCAGTCAGAGGTTTCTCCCAAGACAGACGCCTAAGCTGAGGGCAAAGACTAGGTGGGTGGTAAAGTGTACCAGGCAAAGAGAATGGATAGAAGAAGGCTCAGAGGCAAGAACGAGGGTGACATATTAGAAGGATAGACAAGGCTGGAGCTCAAACATGAAGGCATGGAGGGAACTGGAACGTCCCATCCCAAGTCTCAGGGAGCTACTGAAGGACTCAGCAAGGCCATGGCGTAATCTAATTTGCCTTTACAACTGCCCACTTCATGGCAAGTAAGGGGTTCAACAGAGGGCAAGAGGCCAGTTAGGAGGCCTCCTACTGCCCAGGTTCCTGTCCTGGGCAACTCGGGAAGGATGGGAGCACCACCATAAGGTGGGAAACCAGGAGGAAGAATGAGTCTGCAGGGGCAAGGTGGTGGGCCCAGTGTGGGCTGTGGGAGCTCAGCAGAGAGGTCTAGATTGTAGTATGGCCTTACTGAGCCCAGCTCAGCCCTCAAAGAGGGGCTAGAGAGAGCCAATCTCAGAGACTTGTGCTGCCCATGGAATAACCCCTCTCTTCTCTCCATTTTTAGGGAAACAGGAGCAAACGAACCTCTCAAAACCCACAGAGAATAAGGGAAGGCAACAGAGGGGCCTCCAGGGACATCACCGGGTCTGCTGGCTCCCACACTGGGTTCTGTTGCTGCTCAGACCCCACAGACAACTGCAGGGGGGAGGAGGTTGGGGGCAGGGAGTACCACAGTGCTTGGAGGGCTGGGCCTCCATTGCCCTTGGCCTTGCCTCCAGCAGCCCCAGGCATTGGGCCAGTAAAGAATTTGTCTCTACCCTGATCTAGGTGCCTTAAGGAGAGAACGCATGCTTCTCCTCTCTCAGGGGTCAGCTCAGGAGAAGCCTCTGAGTTTGGGAGGCCAACAGTCCATTTTCTGTCTTGGCTTTTTCCTGTCCTTCCCATCCCCCTGAGATGTGACCCCATAGAAATTTGTCCTTCTGAGAGGAAACCTGAGGTTGACCAGCTCTGGGATTTGTAAGGGAAGTCTGTCTTCTAAGCCCTGAGTTTCCTGAATTTCTTTGGTTTTGCCTTGTTGGCAGGGAGCAAGGGACTCCTGGCCTGGACACAGCCTTGTACTCTGTGGTTACCTAGCTAACCATTCAAGTATAAGGGAGGGGGTAGCTGACACCATCCAGACATGGAGGCACCAAACACCCACCTCCCTGGCCCATCCAGAGCTCTCCAGGTGTGAGCCAGGCTATGGAAATTGTCTTTTCCTGAGCATTGTACTCATATTCCTCTCAATTCTTGGAGGGAAGTTAGGTACCTGAAAGAGGCTGAGCCCCAGGGGGGAACTCCCACCCCCCCTGCCTAAGTGTCCATGGGGTTGTGGGTCTGTACCCTGCCCCCTCACAGAGAGGTACTAAGCAGTTAGTGCAGAGTGGCCCCACTGTGCCCTGCAGCCTCATCACTTCCTATCTTGACCTGTAACCACAGGAGCTTCATCCTAAGAGCCCACAGGCTCAGCTCCTCCCCACTATCACCATTTCAGCCCCCAAGAACCTCAACAGAGAAGAGCCACAGGCTAGGCAGGCCTGCCATGTCCACAGTGGGCTAGGGAGCTTCCAAATGTGCGGGTGGCAAACACCAATTCCTGAAAGTAGTGTGGCTCTGCCTCTTTTCCTGATGGCTGTACTTCTGCCTACTTCTGCTGGGCCACCAGCTACCTCAGTGTCCCACTGCCTGCTTCCTTCCATTAGATGTCACATCTGGCAGCCTTTGCCTAAGCCATCTTCGGCAGCAGAGGTGCACTGGAAGTAGGACTACACTGAGCTCATGCACATGTGCCTACTCTGGTGATATCTTCTGGCTGATAGGATGATGGTTTTGCAGCCCCAGGCCTACCCACTGACACACCACACACAGAATCAGGGTCTCACATTTCACCCTAGGCTTAACTGATGATGTGGCTTATTAAACATGGAAGTGCATCAGTTGTGTGATTATTCAGACAGAACAAGGGTGTGCATACACAGGGAAGACTGGAGAGGGAACACACTGGGGTTATTGCCCCTCAGCACCCAAAATGCAATGACTTGCAGAGATGGAGAGGTGTTGCCATATCCCTGGGAGGAGTGGTGGTGGGTGCCAACAGGAGCGCTATCCCTGTTAGTTCTTATAGACCTGCCCCCTCAAGGGAAACCCACTCTGAGCCTATCTGAGAAGCCAGGAAGGCAGGCATTGGGCTGGCACCCTAGTAACTCTGTGGACAGAGGACAATGAAGCTAGAGATTCTGAGAAGCAAGAAGGAAGGAAGCTTGTTTAATGTTTTTTAGGAGTCAGTGGAGTCCAGTAATGGGCCCTTGGGGTGAAGGTCAGCCCAGGTTAAGGCAAGTCCAAGAAGAGGCCCAGGCTGCCCTACAACAGCCCTGGGGCTCAGAACAGGTGGTGAGTCTGGCATGATTTGCTACTGGGCAGGAGGCTGGGCCACCTTGGGAATGTGGAAGAGTGAGTCCATGCCCCCTCAGCCATCCCCAAGTTTACACATGGCACAGCAACACTACTGGGCCAACCCTCTGTGAGTCAGGAATCATTCCTGCCCAGGGAGAGGCAGCAGTATGTATTTATGGAAGGTAAACTGGAGAAGGTGGCCAGCACTGCCCAAGGTAATAACCCTTTGCAGTGTGAGGAACTGTGGTAAGTTGGGTAGGCTTTATCTTCCCCCTAAAGGTGAGCCTTTCTCCCAGCCAGCACCTGGCAGAGTGGAAGGGATAGATGTCAGAACTGATGCTTCTCAGCTCTCCAGCAGCCAAGAGTGGGGTCAGTGGGAGTGTGGGCTGAAACAGGATTTTGGGTGAGCTGGTATGTCATTCCAAAATGAGGTCTTCAAGTTGGAGTGGCACAGGATGAGGGAGGAATAGGTGGTGTGGCCCCCCTCAACCAGACAACCAGAACCAGCCTCCACCCTAGCCATCTGCTCCCACTGTGTTCTGCCTCAGCTTCCTGACTAACACCTTGTAGAGTGCCTTCCAGAGCAAAGCTCCTGGAGGGGAGGGCACTACCCCAAGCCATCCTCACTTGAGGATGTAGTAGTTTGTAGGCACAAAGGGCATCTTGCTGACCACAGCCATCTGCTGCTTCTGCCGCACCTCTACCAGCAGCGGGGTACCTGGCCGACTATACTCACAGGGCACATAACCCATCGCCACATTTTTCTTCAGGCAGGGTGAGGGGCAGCCACTGGTCACAGTACCTGTCCGGGCAGAGGCCATGCATCAGCACCACCCTGTCAGTCCAGTGCCCACACCCTCCTGGGGATAGGAGGAGGGCTTCCCAACTTCCCTGATTCACCTACCAATCACAGTGCCCTCTGTACTCAGGATAGGGCTGTGTGCCCGCATAGGAGCCCCCTCACACATTAATCCCACACGCCTCCGCTGCACCTTGCCCTTCAGCTGGGGAACAATGACTGTGGCTCCAGGGAAGTCCATGGCAGCTCGGCGACGCTTTCCTGGAGCATGACACACCAGACTTAAGACACAGTCCAAGGACCCCAAGTAACATCCATCTAGTATTGAGGCCCCTTTGCCCAGGCTCCCCCAGGCCCCATTCCTGCCCTGCAGTGCAGTCAGCCACCCACCCACCTCCTGCCCTCTGGTCTTGCAGGCCACGCTGCCCACCTCAGCCTGCTGAAGGTCCTCAGCATCTAATAGTCAAAGCCACAGTGGTCCCATCAGGGAATGGAATCTCAGGGAAGCTGAGTCACTTGCTTCAGGCTATACAACCTTGGGAGCAGTCATGGGCTAGCTGATCTCATTAAGGGCCACTCCAGCCTTCAGGATCCCTGAGTGCTAGCCCAACTCACCTAATGTCCAACTGAGGCTCCCTTCCACAGGTGTGGTGTGTTCATCGATGTCGTTCCCATACAGGCAGAGGCCTGCCTCCAGGCGCAGGCTGTCCCGGGCTGCCAGCCCTGCCAGCTTCACCTCCGGGTTTTCCAGCAGAGCTGTTGCCAGGCGGACTGCCCCCACTGCTGGCACCGAGATCTGCATGGGACAGCAGAGAACAAGTGGGCAGCTGGCCCCAGAGTCCTGTGCCCTGCAACATCCTGCACCCACTTCTTGACATACCTCCACACCATCCTCTCCTGTGTAGCCACAGCGGGTCACGCGGCAGCCAGACACACCAAACACTTCCATCACAGCACTGGTCATGAAGGGCAGTTTCTTCAGGTCATCTGCCACGCCAGCCTGTAGCACCTGGGCCGCAGTGGGGCCTGGGCCCAGGGAGCCAGTGACCAAGTGTCCAGGGCCCAGGGCCCCTTAAAGCTAGTCCATAGCCATTACTCAGGGACCAGAACAAGCCCTGAGCAAGACCTACTCTGCAGGTGGGAGAAGATGCTCTCGCCCACAGCCCATGGAGCCTTATGGCAGGTAGAGGGAGGGTATGATACCAAACTTCGAATTATGGCACACAAATATCACATCATCCACACCCTCCTGGTACGGCCTCTGTTAAGCAGTAGAGGAAGCCAGGAAGGCAAAGGTCAGTTCCAACTCCAGCCTAGCTTGCTCACCTTGCAGGGCTAGCAGGGCATTATCCACCACTTCCAGACCCACATCACTGCCGATGTTCTGAAGTTCTCTGACCTTGTCCTGAAAAGAAAGAAATCACAATAGCTTCTGGGACCAGTTACTGAGTACCTACCATGGGCCAGGTGCTGCAGAGCTGGGCATAGTAGGCTGGTTCCCAACTTACAAGGCCACATAACTACTAAGTGGTAGGGATGACCAAGTCCAGGTCTGCCAGCTCTAACACCAGGCTCCAGCCCTCTATCCTCACCAGAGGATGCTCACTTAGGCATCAGCTTCACTTCCCCACCTCCTCCAAACTGAAACCTGGCGTGCTCCAGGGAGGGCCCACACTGGCTTGCTATTCAATCACTCAAAGAGCCATTGTATGAGCCCATCATCCATGCCAGCTACATCCTGGACAACAAGGATGCTGCTCTGTGAACAAGGAAGATAGAGTACCTAGAACATAGAGGGACTGTACCTGCATGAGGGCCAAGTCCTTGTCCCAGCAGCCAGCATTGGACACCACATACAGGTGCCCCTCAGAGGTGTTGGTCACAATCAAGTCATCTAAGATGCCTCCAGCCTCATTGGTAAACAGCGACAGTGTCCCCTAGCACCAAAGTAGAGTATCTTTGCCTCCAGGTCCAGGAGGCCAAGGTCAAATGTGAGTCAGACACACCCCTGGCCCACTCAGCCACCACAAATTCATGAAGCCTCTTGCACAGGGCTGAGGGGGGTACAAGGTGCAAGGCTGGGTCAGCCCAGGCTCTTGCCTAAGCCCAAGGTTTTTTTGCTTGTTGTTTATTTTTTGTTGTTTTTTGGTTTTTGTGGGGGTTTTTTGAGGAGGATTAGCCCTGAGCTAACATATGTGCCCATCTTCCTCTACTTTATACGTGGGACGCCTACCACAGCATGGCTTTTGCCAAGCAGCGGGATCCAAACCAGTAAACTCTGGGCCGCTGAGAAGCAGAACGTGCGAACTTAACTGCTGCATCACCGGGCTGGCCCCAAGCCCAGGGTTTTTGATCCTCATGCACTGAGAAAGTTTTCACCCCTTCCCTACCTTGGAGGACCTCCCTGATCTAGTGGGGCCTCTGCACCCCACCCCACTCAGAGCTGAGAGCCCTATCTCACACTTAGTCCATGATACCTAGGACCTCCTGTTTCACCCCACCCAGACCTGGGACAACTCAGCCCATGCCCCAAACCCCAGGACAGAAGTTTCAAAGTCCATCTTGATGATCCCATGTGCTCCACAGCAATGCCCCAAAATACTGTGAGGCTGGCCTCAGCCTCCCCACTGGATGGACGAAGAGCCTGAGGTTGAGAGGTCACATGAATCACCTGGGGATTTTATTTAAATGTAGGTTCTGATTCAGCAGGTCTGGGGCAGGGTCTGAGAGCATATTCCTAATGAGCTCCTAGGTGATGATGAGGCTGCTGATTTAGGGACTACACTTTGAATTGCGAGGGATTAGGGAGTATGGAAGGTCACAGAATAGGACATGAACCTGGGTTTCTGGCCTCCCAGCCTTATGTGGTGAGGATGGAATAGGCCCCTCCCTGAATGGCTGGGTGTCTGGACAGGACTCAGGGACTCCGTCCCCCAAGACTGCAAGCCCTGAGAAGCTGTGTCTGTCCATCTCTGTGCCCCCAAGCCCGAAGTAGGGACTCAGCCCGTTTGCTGGCTCCTGACTAAGAACACCCATTGAGCAGAAATAAGAGAAGAGAGACCCACCTGATTTGGCCTTAGCTCTGCAATATCTCCAACCACTAGACTCTCCATCAGCCTTACCCGGTCACAACCAAAGATCTTGGTCTGGGAAAGAGATCAAAAGCCTCAGGCCACTGCAACAGCTGTAATCTGGAAGGCCACTAGGCAAGGAGGCACCCTCCCTGCCATCCACAGCACAGTCCAATCCAGTTGAAATGCCTGACTCGTTTTTGGGTTCTGCAGGTGGCAGAGGCCCCACTTTTTGATTCCCCCACATCCGCCAATGCAAGAGGGCTGCAATAGGGGAGGTTAGGGAAGTTGAAAGGGCCCAGTACCTTCCTGAAATACCCCCTTTTCCAAACCAATACCCAGGTCAGTGGATGAGAATGGGTGCCCTGGAAATCCCAGGACATTAAGGCACACTACTGGTGGGAGGAGGCTGGAGAGATTAGAGAGATGATCAGGAAACCCACTGAATTAGCTTGCTGGAGGCCATAGTCTGTGACACCCCTGAGACTTCCAAGTCTTCTGAGAGGGCTGCCCTTGAAATCCAGCTCCCAGCAAACAAAGCCAAGGGTTGTACCAGTGTGGACTGGGAGGAAGCCTTGGTCTGGCGGCCAGCGCGCTCCCCTGGCTCACCTGCAGCATGTGGGACACGTCAAAGAGTGAGCAGTGCTGACGTGTGTGCAGGTGTGAGTCAACGTGGCTGTCCCGGTACTGCACAGGCAGACTCCAGCCCGCGAATGCCACCATCTTCCCGCCATGGGCCAGGTGGAAGTCATACAGTGGTGTCCTTCGGAGCACATCCTGCAGGCGGCCGGGTTCAGCGCTACCAGGGCCCCAGTCCCCAGCCCCCTACCTCCCCCACCTTCCAAGATTGGCACAACGCCCCAGTACCCTCTGTCCCACCTGTGTGCAACTGAGCGGACGGCCCAGGGTGGAGGGGAACGCCTGCAGACGCAAGCCCAGGCGGGCCACCATGCTCACTGCCCGCTGCATTGTTGCCCACGACTGGTGCAGCCGGCGCACAGAGGCCACCACTCTGCCAGGCACGCTGGGAGATGTAGTCCGGGCCCTGCTTGGACAGGTCTCTCTCCCACAAGGGGGATCAGAAGAGGGGGCGGGAAGCCCCAAGGGCAGGCGGGGCTTTAGAACACAAGGTGCAGTAACTCCAAACTGCAGGGAAACAGCCCCGGGCGCTTCCAGCTGATCAGGGCAGATTGGGCCAGGAGCCAGTTACACTGCTCAGAATCAGAGCTGGGGGCTAGACTTCCCCCTGCAGACTGCCCTGCCTCCAAAGGGTCAAAGTTCTGCAAAGGGCTGAAAGGCCTGAATTGCACATTCAGGACATCAAGAATATAAGGTCAAATGGGGGGAGGGGGAAGGGTGGAAAGGACACAGGAGGGTGGAGCCAGCCACAGTAACCTGGACTCCTGTGAGGGTCTCCAGTTCTCCCACTGGGCACACACAAGCAGCCAGCACAGTCATGCATTCCACAAGTATTTATTCATCTTGCTGCACACTGGGCCTTGTGCTGGGTGCTGAAAAAACAGCTGTGAATGAAGCACAGTCCCTGCCATCCCAGGGACCTCCCCCCAACATATACACACACACACTGAGGGCCACTACTCCCTGAGCACAGGACTATGGTCATTACCCTCTTAGCAAAAGCTGAATGGGGCTAAGTAAATGATGCTGCTGGCAAAGATACCACCTGGAAGAACTCTGATGGGTGAGAGTAGAGAGCAGCCACCAAAAAATGGCTGACCTTCCCCCAGGAAGCTGTTGAGCCACACAAACGTCTGATTTTCCAGGTCCAATACACACTGCAGTACTGTAGCCCCCAGAGGCAAAGCCAGGAAAAACCAGAGAGAAACAGGATTTTCTCATAAGGAAGAGCAGCCTGCCTTATTCAGCAGCTGGTCTGGGATTGTAGAGCACCTAAGCCTTTTAAAAAACACCAATGAGAACCCTCACCGGGACCCACCCCCCACTAAAGTTGATCCCTCATCACACTATCGTACTGAGCATGACTCTTGGAAGGAAGCAGCAGGGAGAAGAGACAATGATGTGTTTTGGACTGTGTCAGATGCACACTCCAGGAGCCAGCTCAGGGACTGAGGGACTCAGGCTGCCCAAACCCGGAGCTTTGATCCCTAAGCAGGCAACAGAAGAGTTGATACAGGAAATGTTTTTGTGGGCATAACACAAAGGGAAAGAAGACCACTAGGGGGTGCAAGAGGAAGAAATGGGGCTCTTGTTTCTCCTTCAAGCTTCCAAACTACAAGAGTGCCACAGCTATAGCAGCCTTCCAAGGCTACATAGACTAGATTCTAGTAGGTCACCCCAGCCCACTGCACTCCGGGTGAGAAACAGGCAGATGACAGGAGTGTGCATGTTGGCAGGAGAGGTAGATGGTACATGGGGATTCTTAGTAAGTAGAACTGGTGTGTTTTTAGGGTAGACTTTCAGGTTGCAGTCAGGTGAGGACAGAGGACACTCCCACCAGGACCTCATGCTGAAGCAATACAGTCAACCTCCAAGAATCTTGAATCTGTGAACGTGGCCCAGACAGAATGGGCATGCAGGCAACACTTGGAATGCAGATGGAAAGGACTTCAGCCTCTGACGGCCCAAACCAGGCCTGAGTGGGCATGGAAGGCCAATGTCTTGGCTAAGAGCCATGGCTCAAGTGTAGGACAGCAAGTTCAGGTCATAACAGCCATCCACCTGCAACACAAAAGACCATCAGATCTGACCTGCTCAGAGCAACAGGAGCAAAGCAGAGGGAAGTGATCACTCACATCAAAGCGGCCGATCCTTGTGGAGGTGTGACTGGCCCGGATCATCTCTGTCAGCGCCCACATCTGCTGCACCTCGGAGGATACCCTGCTGGGGTCTGGGAGACCCTGATCCAGAAGGAGGAGTCAGTGGCCATGGGTCTCTCCTTAGCAGTGCCCTCAGAGCTCCAGAGAGGCCAAGTTGGGTACAGGACCCCCCAGCTAAGACCAGTAACATTCCTAGATGACTTGTGAAACATGATGTTGAGGACTGATGTGCAGTAGGCGGCCTAGCCCCACAGAGAGATGCCTCAAATCCCCTGGAGCACCCAGGAGGAAGATGGCATAGAGTGAACGAAGGGCCCTGGGTCCAGCCCCATATTCTTGCATAAAGGAGACCAACCACCTAGGCCAGTGCTGGACACAAGAGCTATTCACACATGGTTCTTACCCAGGGTAAGGGCTTACCTCAAGGAGTGGAACAGGCTGCTCACAAGGCACTGGGTGGGAAAGCCACTTGGGGAAGGTCATGGAGGGGCTCTGCAAAGCAAAGGCATACTGTCCCGAGGGATGCAGAGTGGGACAGCCCTGGGACCAGATTCCAAGGTCCTAGGAGCAGAGACCCTGAGCCTCAGACACTGGGAAAACTCTGTTCAGGGGTCCACAGAGGCCCAAGGGGCAGTCAGACTAACTAAGTACTTCTGCTATGCAGAAAGAGGCTCCGGGAACACAAGGAACAGGAGTATCTCCCAGCATTTGAAGGCTCCAGCTCTGAAAGAGGCAGGTGGCTCCAAAGATCAGGGGATATGGGGACTTGGCCTCACCTCTAATCATGAGCTTTCAGCATTCCCACCTGGCTAACTTCCATGAAGTCCTCCTTCTGAATCTCACCATCCTTACCCATCCACTCCCATCCCCACCCCAACCCCCAGCTCTCCCAGCTATAGCTAGGAGCCTCCTGGGGAAAGGATCAACCAATAGCTCTGAACTAGTCACTTACCTTGGGTCCTTGCTGGTAGATCTGCAGCTCCTCCACTGTGAAAGACAGCCACAGTGGCGATGGCTGTCGCAGAATCAGGCGCAGCTCCAGTACTCTGGCCATATCACACAGCATCTAACACATACACACACACATACACAAAGACACAAGGACCCAGGGAGGCCCCAGCTCACTGCCCAGGAGTTTCCTAATCAGCAATGAGCCAAGATGCTGCCTCCCCAGGCCCTTGAGAAGGAAAGAGCAATGGTCCCTCCAAGGCATTTGCCAAAGAGCTACAGCCCAGGCCACCCTTGCCCCGCCTCTTGCTTTTTGGTATCCTGGCCAATCCCCAGGCCCCCTAAGAGCCCTCATCTGGGTTGCCCCGGCCATGCTGAGTCCCAGCTGACCTGGTGCTTGAACAGCGATACATACTCCTGGGCTCCCTCCTCACTGTGTGGATCAGGCATCAGGCAGTAGTCCCGCAGGCAGGTTACCCACTTGGCCGGTGTGTGCATCGAGGTGTGCTGGCGAACACGGATGCTCAGAAAGGCTGTGTAGTAATTCTTAAACATGATCTCCTGCAACTAGAGCGCACACAACCCACCACGACAAATCAGAACCAGTCCCAGGGCCTGAGAGGCTCAAAGGCACCATCTCCTCCTCCCCTTAGGAAGGTATTCTTCTACCAATCTAACAATTTCAACAAGCATCCACTGGGGCCCAAAGACAATTTTGCTTTCCTAGAAGAGCTCACAGTCTAAATGAACAGGTCGTGCAAATAAACCACGACCACAGATCTTGCCACATGTCTAACATGCTGCCAGAGGTCAGAGCTGTAACTCTAGAGGAGGAAGAAAGTGTACAGATGAGCCCTGAAGGAGGAAGAGTTCACCAAAGTGGACCAGGAAAGGTAAAGAATGTAAAAGTAGCATATACAAAGGAGCACCAAAAGGTGAGAGAATCTGGCACACCCCTGGAATACTAAGTGATTTGGCCTGGCTACAGTTCTCATCACTGGACACTCATCAGAATCACCTAAGGAAGTTTTTTAAAAAAATATAGGTGTATAGGCCCCCCCTCAGACACACTGAAACAGAATCTCCAGGGCTGGGCCCTTTAATGAAGTCGCTCAACTTATAGTAAGGAAAAGCTTGATGGAGAATCACATACTACAGGACAAAGTGCATGGAGCTGAGAAGAAGGCAGGGTGCAGACATAGAGTGGCCCTGAATGCCAGGCAACTAGAAAGTGGACTTTGCCCTCTGTGTTGAAGTCCTGCAGTGTCCATTCACTCTGCCAGCAGATGTGGAAGGCAACTGGAGAGTGGAAAATGAAGCCATTGGAGATCCTGTTGAAGGATGAGTTGAACCTGACCTCCAGCAAGGACTGTAGGAATGGGCAGGAGGCAGGTTTGGGGGTAAGTCATTGTCTAATGATCCCCAGCCAGTAGCCAGGGACAAAATGACCTCTCACTTCCATTTGGTTCAGAACTGTATTTCCAGCACCTAGCCTACTATTTTGGCACTTCCGTGCCAGCGCTGTCCTAGACATGGGGGAGAGATGTTGAAGAGAACAGGCCAGGGATGGCCTGGTGGCACAGCGGTTAAGTGCGCAAGTTCGCTTCCCCGGTGTGGGGTTCGCTGGTTCGGATCCCAGGTGCGGACATGACACCGCTTGGCAAGCCATGCTGTGGTAGGTGTCCCACATATAAAGTAGGGGAAGATGGGCACTATGTTAGCTCAGGGCCTGTCTTCCTCAGCAAAAAGAGGAGGATTGGCAGCAGTTAACTCAGGGCTAATCTTCCTCAGAAAAAAAAAAAAAAGAACAGGCCAGGAAGCTGGATTCTAGTAAGTATGTGTTAACTAAAGGAATAAACAAATCCTTAACTGATTCGCCAGGGCGAAGATACTGCAGAGGCTTTCTGTAAAAGATTAAATGCCTCGGACACACCCCAGTTCCCAGGTCAGCCCCGCCCAGGAGCACCGGTCGCGCCCACTGGGCTTGCTCACCTCGAAGGGCGCGACGCTGGGGAAGGTGACATCGATGACCAGCACGCCAGGCCGGCCTTGGGAGGTCCGCACGTCGCCCACCTGCAGGGCCACGGTGCCTTTCACATGGCAGGGCACGGACACGCGGGACATGGTGCCAGCGACAGCGACCAAGCACAACTGCCGCTCCTGGCCTCGGACCACTGGTCCTTCCCGGTGTTCCCACCCGAGCTCCAAGAACTACAACTCCCGGGTGGACTCGCGCTAGGCCAGCCCAGCCAATCACCGATGATCAGGGCGGGCGGGGAGTCGGAAGTGCCTGCGGAAGTGCTGCTTCAGCCAATCACCGCGCGAGCCTTCGAGAGCCACCGCCGGCCAGGCCAGACACAGGGCACTCGTTCTGTATCCAAGCAGTCCTGAAGCTTCTGGGAGCTCCGAGACTTGCTCCGTTACTGCCTCTGTGCAGGGCGATCGTCAGTTAAAGCATATAAAGCCATGGGCAAAAATGAGCATACTGCCTGGCCGACATTAATTGCAAAAATAGATACTAACCCTTTTTTTTAAATGGGCAAAGAATTTGAACAGATAATTCACAAAAGAAGATAAATAGCCAATAAGCCCATGAAAAGATGCTTAACGTGATTATTCATCAGGGGAATAGAAATTAGAACCCACACACACCCATTAAACAGGCTAAAATTAAGACTGGAAGGATGTGGAGTGCCTGGAACTCTCATCCATTGATAATTTCCTGCCATTTTGAAAAACTGTTTGGCGTTTCTTTAAAAACTAAATTTATACCTGCAATATGATCCAGCCATTGCACTCCTGAGTGTTTAGCCAAGACAAATGAAAACATACCTCCACCCAAGAGCCTTATTCATAATAGCCAAAAATTGGAAATAACCCAAATGTCCAACAGATGAACAGATTAGCTAATTGTTGTATATCCATACAGTGGAATACTACTCAACAATAAAAAGAAATGAACAAATCCAAGTATGTATTAGCAGTTGAATGCATAAACAAAAGGTGGTCTGTGTATAATAAATATATAATTGTTCAGCCTTAAAAATGAATTGAATTCTGATACATACTTCAACGTGGATGAACATTGAAAATATTATCCTAAGTGAAAAAAGTCAGACATAAAAGGGCAAACATTGTACGCTTCCACTTATATGAAGTACCTAGAATAGGCAAATTCATAGAGACAGAAAGTAGAATCGAGGTTGCCAGGGGGCTGGGAGTAACAGGAAAGAAGAGTCCTTGACAGGTACAGATTTTTTGTTTAGGATGATGAAAAGAATTTTGGAAATACTGGTGATGGTTACACAACACTATGAATATACTTAATTCCACTGAATTATACACTTAAAATGAGTAAAATGGTAAATTTTAAGTTATATCTATTTTAGCACAATTTTTTTAAAAAAGGAGTGAACAACTAGTATACACACCACCACTGCCAGATCTCAAATGCACTATGTTAAGCAAAAGAAGTCAGACCCAAAACATGATACACTGTATGATTCCACTTACATAAAGTTCTACAAAGGTCAAAACTAATCTATAGTAATATAAATCAGAAGAGTTTTACCTGGGGCCAGAGGTGAAGGGAGGGGACTGACTGTGAAGTACAAGGAAATATTTTGGGCTGATGGAAACGTTCTATAACTTGATTGTGGTGCTAGTTATATTTGTCTAGACCTCTGTCAAAATTCATTAAGCTGAATTTTTTTTTTCCTCCCCGAAGGCCCAGTGCACGGTTGTATATCCTCGTTATAAGTTCTTCTAGTTCTTCTCTGTGATCTGCTGCCACAGCCTGGCAACTGACAGACCGGTGGTGTGGTTCTGTGACCAGGTAACCAACCTGTACCACCAAAATGGTGAGAGTGCTGAACTTTAACCACTAGGCCATCAGGGCTGGCTCTAAACTGAATATGTAAGATGTGTATATTTTGTTGTATCTAAATTATGCCTCAATAAATTTGATTTAAAGAGAAAAAAGCAAAGCAAAAATTAAATAGTAACCATCGTATTTACCATCATCCCCATCCTTTGGGGTATTTACAGAAACAATGCCTCAGAGATTGTCAGTTAAGCTTGTGTTTTTGTTTTTGGTTTTTTTTTTTTGAGGAAGATTAACCCTGAGCTAACTACTGCCAGTCCTCCTTTTTCTGCTGAGGAAGACTGGCCCTGAGCTAACATCCGTGCCCATCTTCTTCTACTTTCTATGTGGGACACCTACCACAGCATGGCATGCCAAGTGGTGCCGTGTCTGCACCCGAGATCCGAACCGGCGAACCCTGGGCCTCTGAGAAGCAGAATGTGCAAACTTAACCACTGCGCCACCAGGCCGGCCCCCAAGGTTGTTTTATAGATAACAAAGAAGTGGTCCAGGGACCAGCCCCATGGCCAAGTGGTTAAGTTCGCACACTCCCCTTCAGCAGCCCAGGGTTTCACCGGTTGGGATCCTGGGCGCGGACATGGCACCACTCATCGGGCCATGCTGGGGTGGCATCCCACATGCCACAACTAGAAGGACCCACAACTAAAAATACACAACTATGTACCGGGGGGGCTTTGGGGAGAATAAGGAAAAATAAAATCTTTAAAAAAATAAGAAGTGGTCCAGTGATTTCCCAAGCCAAGAAAGCAGTATGGAGTAGAGCTGGAACCAGGACATTTTTGGGGGCTCCCACCTCCTAGGTCAGAACCCACCACGCAATCGTCAGCTTTGGTGACCTATGCCTTCTCTGTGTTGAGGGGCCCCAGAAACACAGGCTCATTGTAGCCCATAGGGCTCTCATAGTGGGGCGTCAAATAGACACAAAATCAGGATTCCAGGGCCTGGCCTGGTGGCGTAGTGGTTAAGTTTGCACACTCTGCTTGAGCTGGCCTCGTGGCCGAGTGGTTAAGTTCGCGCCCTCCACTGCAGGCGGCCCAGTGTTTCGTTGGTTCGAATCCTGGGCGCAGACATGGCACTGCTCATCAAACCACACTGAGGCAGCGTCCCACAATGCCACAACTAGAAGGACTCACAATGAAGAATATACAACTATGTACCCGGGGGCTTTGGGGAGAAAAAGGAAAAAAATAAAACCTTTAAAAAAAAAAATAGAGGGGGGCTGGCCCCGTGGCCGAGTGGTTAAGTTCGCGCGCTCTGCTGCAGGCGGCCCAGTGTTTTGTTGGTTCGAATCCTGGGCGCGGACATGGCACTGCTCATCAGACCACGCTGAGGCAGCGTCTCACATGCCACAACTAGAAGGACCCACAACGAAGAATATACAACTATGTACCGGGGGGCTTTGGGGAGAAAAAGGAAAAAATAAAATCTTTAAAAAAAAAAAAAAAAATAGAGGAAGATTGTCACAGATGTTAGCTCAGATGCAATCTTCCTCAACAAAACAAAACAAAACAGGATTCCAGGCCAGCTTAAGGAACAGCCCGGAGGAGTTGTGCCTTCCCAGCCCAGGCCTGGAAATTTCTAGTGACAGAAAACATTCCCTGTCTCCTCATTGGCTGTTTTCAGGGGAAAACAATTTGCAACCTTGGGTCTCCTGGACTGGCCATTGCCATCTCCATTTTGACTCAGACTAATGATTCAGTGCCTGGGTCCCTCCAGGTTCCTGAGAATTTCCCCTTCAGGGAGCCCACCCGATGCTAGAGCAGAGGCTTCCCCAAATCCCAAAGGACTGTAGGCTCCCTAGGAATCAGGAGGATCTAAACAGGCTCTGGTCTTCAGGGCTTAACTCTGAGAGCATAGTCACAGCAGATACAGACCTGTGTGGCTCCTCACTGCAGATGAGTCTCCTCTCATATCTCTCTAGTGGACAACCACCTTCACTCCAGCCCCTCCAGACCATTAGCCACACTGTAGCAAGATGACCTTTTTAGTGTGAAATTCTCATGGAATCCCTCTGCCTGAGGATCAAATCTAAAAGCTCTTAATAAGTCCATGAGTCCAGGACATGGATGGGCTCTGCCCACAGGCTGCTCAAAACCTGCCTGCTCCCCCAACCCTGACACATTCACTCTAGTTCCTCCCACATGTTGCCATCTCTCTCCTTCCAGTCTGCGCACAGGCTACTCGCTGCCCATGACACTCTTAGGTCACTTCTACTCCACCTGCCACCTTTCCACCCTTCAGTTCTTAGTTTAGATTTTAATTTTTCAGGGAGTCTTTTCTTGTTCTCCTGGACTAAGCCAGATCACTGTACATTGTCAGAGGCTCTCTACATCTTATTGTAATCGTTCCTCAAAGCCTGTCTCCCACACTGGGCTATGTAGGGTAGGAGAGCAGGGATTTAGTCTGTCTGTTTGTATCCCACATCTCCTAGCATCATGCTGGGCACAGCGGGTGCTCAAATACATTCCAAATGAACAAATTATTGTTCAATTTTAGGAACTTACACTTCCAGCCAAAACAGAGTAACTGGGAAAATATTTACCCTCCCGGTTGACTCAACTAAACAACCCAGCAAAACATATGAAACAACCGTTTTCAGACACTGTACATCAGGCTGCATAGGACAGTGATCCCTGAGAGAGGAGAAACAAAACAAAATGAGTTCAATGATTATCACAGTTTACTGTCTGAAGAGTTTCCAAGTGCAATGAGGGGGAACCCACGTGGAGTTTGTCACACTCCCTGAGTTGAAGAGACAAAACCGGAAGTTTGGAAAGGCAAAGACGGCTAGAGGCTACAGAGAACAGAGCTGCACTGAGAGATGACTCCAGGGGGTTCCCCTTGAGGCTTCAACTTATTAATAATCAGCACATTTATGTGAGGAAACTACCCGCGGCCAAGGAAAGAACTACCCAAAAGGATTAAAAGATAACAATCACCAAATCTTACTCAGAGCCAGAAATAGTTTGTATTCCTGCCAGGCATAGTAAAAAAGCTCCTAATTCATGGGACATTGTATAGAGAAATTAGAAGTGTGTTACTTCAGTTGTGGATAAAAATTTGCCCTGGACTAAAATCTGCTCTGATTCCACTAATAAAGCTTAAAATCAAGCCTCAAAATGATCAAAATGTTTAAATGTATCCCAGAACAAAGGTCAATATTTATAGGAATACAATATTTACCAAAAAGGTAAAATTTGCCATGTCTCACATCCAATTAAAAATTACCAGAAATGTGAAGAAGCAGAAAAATATAATGAAGAGAAAAATCAAGCAATAGAAACAGACCCAGAAATAACAGATGATAGAATTAGCAGACAAAGCCATTAAAATTTGAACTTAATATA